GGGGGGGGGGGGGGGGGGACGATCCCTGGGTGTGGGAGAAGAAGAAAGCGGCGGGCGTCGCCAAGGCTAAGGCGCCCGCGGGCGACAGGCTGGTTTACTTCGATCCCCAAATCATCTTGCCTCCGGCGGACAAGCGTAGCGGTGAGCTGAGTCGAGTCGAGGGAGGCGGGTCCACATTCCGTAGCCTGTTGCCGGTTTTGGTCAATCTGTTAGCCCTGCAGCGCTTGCACGTGTTTGTGGTATGTAGATGCCCACCCCTCGTTTTCGGAGATGCACTGTTTCGTTGATACACTCTCTCGTTGTCGTAGATAGTAACTTCGTTGTCTTCCACCGCATAACCACACACACACCAAGGGTCTGGAATACACACGAAACGCTTAGGATGAAACGAATTCTCTGTGGCTGATCACGATGTGCATATTCGCGCGCCTTTCCGTGCCGCTGACCCTTGCCGCAGCGCCTGGAGGGGAGACGGCGGAGGAGCAAAGGCGCTACAACAACCGCTGGATGTTTACGCCTGCCACGGTGCTGTCCGCCGTAGACCCGGAGCCCGGAGTGGTGCTCATCCGAACCAGAGACTCGGCGGTTCACAGGCGAGTACCGGTAGTGCATAGTGCAGTATTATATCAACAGTGTACGTGGTTTGTTTGGTGGAGGGGGCCTGTGCCAAAGGGGCTCCGTCGTTTCGATGGCTGCAAGAGGGGCTTCGTGGTTTGATGGATTCGAGAGGGGCTCCGTGGTGTGATGGATGCACGAGGGGCTCCGTGGTTTGATGGCTTCAAGACGGGGGATCCTTGGTAATGTCGTCAAACGAAATTTCCACGACACGTTGCTTGTGACGGTATTGTCGTGTGGAGCCCGCGGTGATATTTTGTTGTGTTCTAACTTTGTGCGAGTGTCGCGGTGGTCTCTATCAAATCGCGAACCCTTATTTCATCCATATTGATGTGTGTGTCCGGTTTGTGTCGGTATGCTCTGGGTGGCGATGCCTGCGTAATGTCGTGCTTGGTGCTGTGGTTGTCCCGTGATCGTGACTGCGATTGGTCAGGGCGAATGGAGCGGAGCTGGAGACAGTCAACCCGCAGGCTTTGGAAGGCGTGCCGGACGCCATGAACGTTTCGAACCTCACGCAGGCCTCGCTGCTGCATACCGTCCGGGAGCGGTACAACCGTGACGAGGTGAGCCAGAAAGAGTTATTCCCGCGTTGAGGATGGGATAGAGAGGAGGTACCTACAGCAGTGGTAAGTTTTCCCCAGGTAGAGAGTATAGTATCTCCTATGATACCCATCACATCGTTCAGGCGGCGCAGCCCTCTTGTTCCGAACCAACTCGTGTGGCGTTGTCGAAACTGATCATTTGTATTACCCAAAACTGAAGTTCTGTCATTCCGAACACAGAAACATGACATTGACACACCCAAACACTTGTATTGCACCCTCTGCCAACCGGTTCTACCTCTGTTCGTGTTTTGTGCTACACCCATCATCATGCGTGTATCAGAGGTACGCGCCCCTGGGTTGTTTTATATTTGCCACCGTCGCCACCACCTCGACGAGAAACAGTCACCGAACACATCTGTGTGGGAAACATGAACCAAGGAGTCCAATTTGTTCCGTTTCTGAATGAGTCGAGAGGACGCGACTTGAAAGCGTGAGGAACGATTTCCCTGCTCCGACAAACACAGCACTGATGTCACGCCTCACCACATGGTGCCCTCCACACGGGACATGCTGTGCATGACAGGTCTACACCCGTGTGGGGCCGGTTTTGATGTCGGTGAACCCGTACAAGTGGATAGTGGGGCTTTACGCCGAAGACGCGATGCTGAGCTACCACGGAAAAGCTGCCATGGTTGAGGCGGGAGAGCTCGCCCCGCACCTGTTCGGCGTGGCCGATCACGCGTACTCAGAGCTGGTACGTGCTATTTGGTCGTCACGGCCCCCAAACAAGTCCACAAGTGG